AAATTCTTATCTTTTAGAATAGATGGTTTTTACCCTCCAAGAGGTACAGATCATGCACAACTGTTAACCAGACACAATTTTACATCTTTGCGTATCAGAAGAATACTTTTATCTATTACTTTTTTATTTAAACTTTTGCACAACTTAATTGACTCACCATTTCTACTAAGTAAAATTAATTTTTTAGTGCCCAGACCAAATTTACGAAGTCACCCTGCTTTTTACTGCAGGCTAGCGCGAACAAATGTTTTGCTTAGGTCGCCAATTTATAATATGTGTTCCAAATTTAATGTAATATCCGAGGTAGTTGATATACACAATGATTTCTTAAAATCAATCCTGGTTGTAGCAACTGAATATTTTATATAGTTTTTCTTTATTTTTTCCCTTTTTATTTTTTAGTTTATTTTGTTACATTTGGGTTTTTGCATGTAGGTATTGTACTTATTTTTTTTTTAGTTAGGCTCTGTCTTAAACTTTTTAGTTTAGTTTACTTAACCTTAATTGTTGTCCTATTATTGGAGTTGTTATTCTGTTGGACAATAAAGATTTATTATTATTATTATTATATAACGATTGTATGACATTTGACAACTGTCAACTAACTTAATTAAAACTTTATAAAAACCTGTTGCTAACTTCAGCCCGTGACTAAAAGCCACAACTTGTCAGAAAAAAATCTTTTCAGGAGGTGCGTTTGTGACGGGAAGACAAAAAAAATTAAGAATTATTAGTATATTATTAATATATTTACATTGTCTTACCGTCTAATGGGGCTTAAAGAATTCTTTGATCAATACAATTTCAATTTTTGATTGTAGTAATTACTAACGTTAACGTTACTAGTACTATATATATAGTTGAGATATTTGAAAACAAAAGAAGGGAAATATTATACAGTTATATGATTAATCTAAAACATTATTAGTCATTCACCAAATTTTAAGAAAAATTACAAAAAAGATTGGCCCAATCAAAGTTTTACTTCATTTGGGGCAACTTTGATCATGCCTTATAACTAATGAATTCATTAGTTTAAACCCCGTTCAATTATAATTTAAGTTAGAATTTATATGCAGATGAAAGTGTTGCTGTTTATAATTCAAAAGTTTAAGTTCATTAATTTGCTATTTAAAAACCTATCCACCGTGAAGTGTAATATCTCAGTAAGTAGATTTTTTTATAAATATTTTTAGTATGTACAATTGTATTTTTTAAAAATATTAAGGTGTCAAAAGACACAATAAGTTATTTCAAATATACAAAGGGATGAAGCTATCTTCCGTGAAGCTCTAATATTCAAAATGTATGATTTCTTAAAATACTTGCATTAGTGCAGAACCACTTATGTTATGTTATTACTAGACCTGGTGGCTTCCCAAAAACCCCATTCTAGACTAAAAATGAACAACCAAAAATAAAAAATAATCATTTTCACTTGGGGACATCTCAATATATTCACCCACCTAGAAATATTAGCACGTCATTGTATCGCAGGAAATAAAAAATACATATAATAATTTAATAAACTTTATTAAGTAGTTTACTACTAAAAAGTATTTACAAAGGGGATGGCTGAACTTGTACAAACATAAGAGTCATTCCACGTTACTCGGGGATTTTTGTCCCGCCCGTCACAATTAAAAATTGTGAGTAAAAACTACACGTTATAAAATTTATTTAAAAATATTGTTTTATTATGCTTTTAATAAGTCATAAGCACAATAAAAATAATATTATAAAATATTAATTTTATAACTTGTGGTTTTTACTCACAATTTTTAATTGTGACGGGCGGGACAAAAATTACCGAGTAACGTGGAATGCCCCATAAGGCAAACCACCACTATGTTTTATAAAAATTAGAAATAAAAAATATGTAATTATGAATATTACTTCTATTTTAAGCAAAATTAAATAATTAATACATAAAGCCATTTTCTGTACCCTAAATTTGTTGAGATATAATTTTAATTTGCTTGGTATAAAAAGGTCACTGATCTAAAAGCTTGTAAAAATCGAAATAACAGGTACTACTGGCCAAACATACAGGTGTCTAAAATAAAACTTATTGAAAGACAAAGTGAGAATACTAGAAGATCAAAATTGTTCTTCAATTACAAAAATGGTTGTACAGTTGCCTTGCTAAATATATAATTTTTGCTATAATTTATATCTACATTTAGCTTACCACATACTGCTTTAATCAATTCTACATATATACAAAACATAGCTGGCGTTTATAAGTGATCATTAAGCAAATGTTAAAGAAGTTAAAAATTAAAAGCATATCACAATATGAAAAGTTGTTTGAAAAGTATGTGTTAACAAGTGGCATTCAAGTACAAATCGAATTAAGTAATTAAAAACGATTAGCATTAATGCGTAAATTCGTCAACGAATTAACTATCATTAATAAAAAAAATGGTATGAACTTTCAGAACGAATATCGTTAAGTCAAAAGTGTGTAATAATGAAAAAATTGCCTGACACGTCGGGAATATGGCCCACAGTTACTCGAAGATAATTTTAAACAACTTTTGATTTTTTTTAATAGAGCTTGAAGTCAATCAAAAAGTTAATCGCATCAATTTTAAGCAACATTGTAATTTAGTACATACATATTAGACTGGGCCAAAAAAATCAACTATTTTTTTTTTGAAAAGTATATCGAAAATAGTGTTTGGGGTGACAAAAAAAAATTATTGTGAAAGTTTGAGTCCATAATATTAATATTAAGAGGTCTATCATCGCAATTTTAATTTTTTTTTCCTCAGCATGTTTTAGGCTCAGAACTCCCAAACCATTGAATTTAACAAAATTGACAATATTTTTTTAAGAAAATTAAATGCTCTACAAAAAAGGTTAAAATAAAATTTTCCGTCAGATGAACCGTTTCCTTAAAATCTTGCCTTAAAAATTGGTATAGTTTCACATTTTGATCTTGGAATTTTGTAATTCATGTAAAAATCAGTACCCAGAAAAAAACTGATGAATATTCTTATGGAAAATCAAATGCTTTACAAAAAAGCCTGTTAACATTTTTGGCTAAATTCATTCAATCAAAAGTTATTCAAGGTTAAAGTTCAAGTCAAAACGAAATTCTCGTTTTTTCCTCTGTAGATTTATTTTTTTGAGGGTGATAATTTGATTTTTTTCTTTATAAATGTGTATTACATAACTAATTAACAATATCCAATAAAAAAACAACATAATTGTTATTATTTAAACGATTAAATAGGTAACAGTGAAAATAATAATAATAAATAAAATAGCTTCTCAAAGCAAAAAAACTCAAATGTGTTATTTCTTTATATTTTCAGTAATTTTATCAATAACATAAAGATTATCATTGATAAAAGAATTCGTTTTTAACTGACCCAAAAAAAAATCCAGAGCGGAAAAAACAAGAATTTCGTTTTGACTTCAAATTTAACCTTGAATAACTTTTGATGGAGTGAATTTAGCCAAAAATGTTGAGAGACTTTTTTTGTAGAGCATTTGACTTCCCATAAGAATATCTATCGGTTTTTTTATCGGGTACTAATTTTTACATGAATTACAAAATTCCAAGTTAAAAGATCAAAATGTAAAACTATACCAATTTTTAAGGCATGATTGTAAGAAAACGGTTCATCTGACGGGAAATTCCAATCAAACCTTTTTTGTAGAACATTCAATTTTCTTCAAAAAATCTAAAATTGCGATGATAGACCTCTTAATATTAATATTTTGGAGTCAAACTTTCACCCCAAACAATATTTTCAATATACTTTACAAAAAAAATAGTCTAATATACACTCACCGACAAAGAAACCGGCACCAATTTTGACATGTCATAACTTTTTTATTTTTGATTTTATTGCAATGATTTTTTATCTGGACTATAGATCAATTAATTTATATTGCGCTGCAGTTTATCCTGATGAAATTTTGGATGCTTAAAGGTTTATATACCAGGGTTAATAAAAATGTTGTTTTTATCCGTAAGTTTAAAACACCCTGTGGAAAAAAACATGCAAATCAACCTTTTTCTATACTGTTTTACGATAAATCTGGATGTGTTCCGAGTTTTTTGTTTTTTTACATCATCTGTCCATCTCGTTTCTTTTAAATGAAACGTCACATTTAAAAATATTTTTACTAAAGCTGTTTTAAAAGTTGTTTAGAGCACAAACTGAAACTTAATAACGGGTGTGTCCACCTCTAGCCGCATTCTTCGTGGCATCGAATCAATTAGATTGATTATTTTTTTCTTGTGGAATAGCTTCGTATTCTTCATTTAATGCTAACCTGAGCTCTGCTAATGTTGTAGGCTTGATGAGGCGGTAACGAACGCTTCTTTTTAATTCATCCCACAAATGATCAATTGGGTTGAGATCTGAGCTGCATGGTGGCCATTCCAACCTCCGAAATCCAACTTCATCTAAAATATTTGTAGAAAATGGAGCCCTTAATGCCCATAGATATATTGAAGGTTTCGGAGGTTGGAATGGCCACCATGCAGCCCAGATCTCAACCCAATTGATCATTTGTGGGATGAATTAAAAAGACGCGTTCGTTACCGTCTCATCAAGCCTACAACATTAGCAGAGCTCAGGTTAGCATTAAATGAAGAATATGAAGCTATTCCACAAGAAAAAATAATCTAATTGATTCGATGCCACGAAGAATGCATGCTGTGATTGCGGCTAGAGGTGGACACACCCGTTATTAACTTTCAGTTTGTGCTCTAAACAACTTTTAATAAGGGTTAATTTAAAAATGCGTAGCTCGTAAAAGAAACGATATGGACAGATGATGTATAAAAACAAAAAACTCGGAACACATCCAGAATTATCGTAAAACAGTTTAGAAAAAGGTTGATTTGCATGTTTTTTCCACAGGGTGTTTTAAACTTACGGATAAAAACAACATTTTTATATATAAACCTTTAAGCATCCAAAATTTCATCAGGATAAACTGCAGCGCAATCTAAATGAATTGATCTATAGTCCGGCGAAAAAATCATTTCAATAAAATCAAAAATAAAAAAGTTATGACATGTCAAAATTGTCAAAAAAATTTAGGTGTCGGTTTTTTTTGTCGGTGAGTTTATATAATTAGAATACCTAATAGGATGGGGTTAATTAGTGTTGGAACAAATTATCGAATAGAAAAACTTTTTGTTCGACTAATTGTGGGCGAGATTACCTTAACGATCACCCATGAACATGTCTATCGGTCAAGTGAGGAAAAGAAATTTTAAGAGCCGGGGCGGATTCACATGTGATGCAACGTCATCGGCAGATGCTGCTGCTGGTCGGAGTTGCGCGCCTGGCCGAGGGACAGGTGCGAAAGCTGCTGCTCCGGCCTGGAAAAGTGGTGCAGCTGCGCGACCGCCAGCTGATGCTGCAAAGAGTTGAGTATGCTGTCCGGCACGACCGGCTTCGGCAACGGAATGGTTATGGGTGGCGGCTCGTCCGAGTTCTCCTCCATCTTGTGGACGGGTTGCAAGCGACGGATGTTGCTCACGACGTTTAAGCCTAAAATTTATGGGGATTGTTAAAATTAAGGCGCCAGCATTAGTGCTTGGAACAAGACAATTTTAAAGCTTTATTCTGTTCTGCCTTTAAACACTTTTATGAATGATTTTTATAACAGGGCTCCCACGGCTAAATTACAAAAAGGAGAAAAAAGTATGCAAATGAATTTCTTTAATTAAATAAAAACAAAGTTCTCTTTATTACTTAAAAAATAAGAAAAAAATGAATACTTCTTTTGTAAAAATAAGTTATATTGACTAGTTTTTTAGAAAAATCGCTCGAGTTTTTTTTTAAATAAAATTAAAAGTGAAGTAAAATTAAAACTTTTGTATAGGTATATCTGAGGTACATATACAGGGTGTCCAAAATGTGATAGGATAGTATTGCTATCTCGGTAACGGTTATAGTTCAAAAGTTGCGTAATTACATGTCTTTTATTATGGCATCTGAAGATTGCACACAAAATTAGCGGTTCTCAAAATATTTGAAAAAAACTGAAAATTGGTTAAAACTTATTATCGGTATAATTTTTTTATTAATAGGAATTTTGAAAAACTGAAAGGTTTACATGAAAACATACACAATTACATACGTTTGTAGATTCTGAGATATGGCCACTTTTTTTGTTTTTCCTAAGGCGGCCATATTGGATTTTTGCATGAAAAAATTGAAAAAATATCAAAGATTTTAACCATGTATCATACATGGTACTTTAGCCAAAAATAAACTTTTTATTATTATTATTTACATTAACTATCAAGTTGCCATGAAAAGAAACAATCCAATTGTCCAGGTCCAAATGCAAAAAATGCTGCTGAAACATACGCTAACTTGTATCCCGAAAAACAGGTACCTGACACAAAAATATTTGCACGCTTGGAAAAAAATTTGCGCGAACTTAAAATGTTTGAAAACAAAAAAAAGGAAACCAACTGTAACAGAAGAAGGAGGTGAAAAGGAAACTAATGTATTGGGTAATATTTTATAAATAAAATAAATAAATTTTAAAATTTACGTTGTGGAATTTATTTAAGGCTACGTGCATTTTAAAAATGTGAATCAAAATGAGGTTTCTCTTAGGGAAATCGAAAAAGACACAAGTACAGACCTTATCGCTACAGGAAAGTACAACATTTGAGGCCAGTGGATTATCCCGGACAACAATCGGGATTTCCTGGTGAAGGCATGATGATATCACAACGTGGTTTTTTTTATCACGCTGTGATATCCTGAGTGCATACACATTAGGGTGGAGTGAATTTTTTTAAATTTATTAATTGATTTTTCCTATATTATTAATTGTTGACTAAAGGCGTAAAATGAATAAATATCGAAAAAATATTCCAATTTTTTAATATCTTGAGGTGGCGCATCAGTCTCGAAGTTTTGAAAATTCTAAAAAAATATTACTTTAATCAAATTGATAAAAATAGCATTATTTATAAATAAAAAAATTATTTTAGTAAAATTAACGTAAAACGTAAACATATTTAATAGTAAATCATATGCTTTAAGTAACTTCAGGAGTGTTTATTGGTAGAAATGAGATCTTCTTTTTCGCGAAAATACTGACATTTGGTATAAAAATTTGGTAATTATTTTCTGACTTTAATTCTTGTTCTGATGAAACCATCTCTTGCTTCCGATCCACAAACCGAGACTGACGATTCAGTATACTGGTTATAACCAGTTTTACACAGCGTTCCACTGCTTGGGTGTGACACAGAAATTTTTGGAAGTATAGGAAATGGTCACCCGAAGAAATCATATCGGTAATTTCTGTCATCGTATTTCATAGTCATAGGTGGTTCAGTTACCTTTTCTGTCGCCCAGTGAATTAACTCGTAAAAATGTAACGCTTCAGTATTTAGTTGTGAAAGCTTTAATTCCCGTAATCTCGAACATTTTGATTCTTTTCTCGCCTTTAATATTTTCGGCAATGCTAGTTCTCTAATCGATAGATATATTGTAGGTAACATAGCTAGTAATAGGTTTTCGGGATAAATATTAGCTATAGCTTACAAAGATCCAGGCAAGCTAGCACATTCCCTATGGCTGACGTGGGCTAATAGGATTATTCGTTTATATGTGGGGATAGCAAATCCATCGGAAAACCTAAAAGAATTGGCTACTTTTATCATGAAAGTGTATGCCCCAACGTGGTTTTACATCAACACTAAGCCTACATGGTCCTTTTCACATATTTAATATGACTAAAAGAGCATTACACCTCCAGAAAAACTTGAAGGCCTTATAACTATAGTTATAAAGAATATTCAGCGAAATATTTATCCCGAAAACCTATTACTTGCTATGTTACCTACAATATATCTATCGATCAGAGAACTAGCATTACCGAAAATATTAAAGGCGAGAAAAGAATCAAAATGTTCGAGATTACGGGAATTAAAGCTTCCACAACTAAATACAGAAGCATTACGTTTGTACGAGTTAATTCACTGGGCGACAGAAAAGGTGACTGAACCACCTATGACTATGAAATACGATGACAGAAATTACCGATATGATTTCTTCGGGTGACCATTTCCTATACTTCCAAAAATTTCAGTGTCACACCCAAGCAGTGGAACGCTGTGTAAAACTGGTTATAACCAGTATACTGAATGTTCAGTCTCGGTTTGTGGATCGGAACCAAGAAATGGTTTCATCAGAACAAGAATTAAAGTCAGAAAATAATTACCATATTTTGATACCAAATGTCAGTATATTGGCGAAAAAGAAGACCTCATTTCTACCAATAAACACTCCTGAAGTTACTTAAAGCATATGATTTACTATTAAATATGTTTACGTTTCACGTTAATTTTACTAAAATAAACTTTTTATTTATAAATAATGCTATTTTTATTACTTTGATTAAAGTAATATTTTTTTAGAATTTTCAAAATTTCGAGACAGATGCGCCACCTCAAGATATTAAAAAATTGGAATATTTTTTCGATATTTATTCATTTTACGCCTTTAGTCAACAATTAATAATATAGGAAAAATCAATTGATAAATTTAAAAAAATTCACTCCACCCTAATACACATGCTTCATCACAGTGATATCATGTAGAACTCACGGTGTGATATTTGCAAAATTTGTGCATGCGTATGAGCCCTGCGAACTGCGCATTTAAAACCTAGTTTGTTATTCACATTACACCGTTATAATTTATAAAACGTTGTTTGAATATCACGAATGTTGTCCGGGTTCAATTAAAAAAGATATTCCAATGTTTAACAAAACGTGAACGTTTTGAACGCAGGGCTCATACTTTCGTGATATTCATACGAACATCATGTCGTGATTTTCACAAATTTTATTCACACTGATATCATACGAAAGTCACCGCGTGATAAATGAAAATCATACGAACGTCACGTCGTGATTTTCTTAATAACCGTTTCCGAGATAGCAATATGCTATCCCATCACATTTTGGACACCCTGTATACAGGGTGTTTCTTTTAACTTGAGACAGATCAATATCTCGAGAAATACGCATTTCACGGAAAAATGTCTTAAATAAAAGGTTAATGTGACCAAAGGGGACATTACTTGGTGCCACCTCTAGCCACCCCCTACCCCTCCTTAAGGGTGAAACGGGGGGTAACTTTGGAAAGTCAAATGGAATGACCCGATTTTTTTCACAGAGTTTGGTAGTACATAAAAAAATGAATAACTTTTATTTAAAAGTTTTTTTCAATTTATCAACAGATGGCGCTGTAATTCAAAATTTAAGAAAAAGGGTTTTCCTTATAAAATAATAATAATAATAATCTTTATTTAGCAAGGAAGCTATCTCATACCTATACAAAAAATAACAATATAAATATAACATGTATACAAGATATGTACAGTATAACAATAAAAGTATAAATAATTTATATATATCTAATCACAGATTCTACGGAAGTGCTCAAGTAAATTTGTCTTAAAATGTTTAATATTAAAGCTTTCTTTTATTTTAGCTGGTAGTAAATTAAATTGTACCAATCCTTTATAAAATGCAGTGTTTTTCATCTGAGTTGTTCTACAAATACCTATATTGAAATTATTACTACTTCTAAGTGTGTAACTGTTTCTGTCAGAAACCAATGACAGATTTTGGCACATATACTGAGGTAGAATATTGTTTTTCATTTTATATATAAACATTAAAGTATTAAACAATATTCTATCACAAACTGGTAACAAATTTAGTACATTTAACATAGTTTTAATTGGAGTGTATCTATTACAATACAATACTGTTCTCATACATCGGTTTTGTATGCACTGGATTTCCCCAATTCTATATGCAGGTAAGTTAAAGAGAATTGTTGAACAAAAATCAATGTGTGGGGCAATTGTCGATTTATATAGAAGAAGTTTTGTTGACAAGGAGAGATTTTTACTAACACGTTTTAAAAAGAATGATTTTTTTGACATCTTATTCATAATATAAAGTGCATGTGTGTGAAAATTTAGATTTTCGTCAAGTTTAACTCCCAAGTAATTAATATCTTTTACCAAATCAATTTTTACATTATTAATATGGACAGGTAACAAAGTTTGGTTACCAATTTTACTTACATTGCTCTTACTTCCAAATACAATACTTTTAGTTTTTGCTATATTAATGCAAAGTTTATTATCACAGAGCCAAGTGTAGATATAACTTAAATCACAATTTATTTTCGTTATCATATCACAGATGTTATATCCTATTATATATAGCATTGTATCGTCTGCAAACAAACTTATTTCTGAGAATTTTACACAGTTTACTTTATCATTTAAGAACAATGTAAATAAAATTGGTCCCAGCACAGTTCCCTGCGGAACCCCATGGGTAGTTTGAATTTTTTCCGATGTCACACCATTGAACTTTACTTTTTGATACCTATTGCTCAGGTAACTCTTGAACCACTTATGCACTGTTCCCCTTATCCCAATCTTTTTCAACTTTTTTAACAGTAAATCTCGATCAATCGTCTCAAAAGCGCGCTTAAAATCCAAAAATACAGCCAAGATTATCTTATTGTTGTCTATGCTGGTAATCCACTTATCACAAATTTGAATTATTACCGTTTCACACGAATGGCCCGTGCGAAAACCAGACTGGTTTGGAACATTCACCTTATTAATATATCACAGAAATTTATTAGTTGATTTTTTACACACACTTCCGGGATTTTTTCATAAACAGGTACTACAATAATGGGTCTAAACTCTTCACAACATATAGTTTTGGAGATCTTTGGTACGGGTACTATAATTGATGTCTTCCAATTTTCTGGAAAAACTCCTGTTGACATTAAACTATTAATCACATCCAAAAACCAATTTCCAATTACTTCAAAAGCACATTTAATTATTCTTGTTGATATTCCATCATCACAGCCCCCTGTATTCTTCAGATTTTTGACTACTTCCTTAATGTCTCCCATAGTTACTTTATTAAATTTTCTTAAGTGTATCTCCTCAGTCATAATGTTATTTATGATAAAATCATGATTGTTGTAAGTCGGAATATTAGTAACAATATTATTAATACTTTGTATGAAAAATTTATTAAAATTTTCCGATATAATTTTTTTGTCAGTGGTTCTCATATTATTAAATACAATTTCCTCATTTTGTTGGCTTTCACATTTATTTGGTAATAAGGTCTTCAGGTTTTTCCACATTTCCCTAGGATTGTGTTTATTTTTGTCAATAGTATCTAGATAGTACTGATCCTTTGCTTTTTTTATTTCTTTTGTTACCATATTTCTGTGTTATGTATTATTTGAAACGTTTGAAAAACAAAAATTAACATTAAATCAACAATAGTCGGCTCTGAAAACAATTTATAACAAATGTTCGAAATGTCGTCCTTCCATTTCGACACCAAGTGTGGAGCACGAGCGTCCCTGGTCGGTAAACGTTTGGTGCGGTACCTTAAGCGAACGATTAATCCGACCCTTCTTTATTGACGGTGCATTAAATGGCGAAAAGTACCGGAATTTTCTAGAAAACGCACGGCTCCAAAACATGTGGTACCAGCAAGATGATTGTACTGCACATTATTCGGCAATTGCTCGAGAGGTGTTGGATCGGGAGTTCAATGGCCGGTGCACCGCGGTGGATCGGTAGACGTGGTCCAGTAATTTGGCCTGCTCGATCACCTGATCCTACGCCACCAGACTTCTTCCAGTGGGGTTACTTGAAAGAAAAAGTTTACGCTGCAATTCCTACAACTTGGGAGGACATGGTGGAGCGGATCAGGAACGCCTGTGCGGCGATACCGCCCGACATGTTGGCGCGTTGTGTGCCAGAATTCATTACCCGCATTCAAAAATGTGTTGAAATGGAATGACGACATTTCGAACATTTGTTATAAATTGTTTTCATAGCCGACTATTGTTGTTAATGTTAATTTTTGTTTTTCAAACGTTTCAAATAATACATTTTACAAGGAAACTCATTTTTCTTAAATTTTGAATTACAGCGCCATCTGTTGATAAATTGAAAAAAGTTTTAAATAAAAGTTATTCATTTTTTTATGTACTAGCAAACTCTGTGAAAAAAATCGGGTCATTCCATTTGACTTTCCAAAGTTACCCCCCGTTTCACCCTTAAGGAGGGGTATGGGGTGGCTAGCGGTAGCACCAAATAATGTCCCCTTTATTCACATTAACCTTTTATTTAAGACATTTTTCCGTGAAATGCGTATTTCTCGAGATATTGAGCTGTCTCAAGTTAAAAGAAACACCCTGTATACAAGAATAAATTTCACACTTTTAATTTTATTTAAAAAAAATGCGTCGATAGATTTGGCTAAAAAACTAGGCCAAAATTAAATGATGTTATAAAGGGTGATTTTTTAAGCGTGTCCGAACTTCGGACAATTGTCGCTGTCAAACAAACTGTCAATTTTCATGCATCTAGAAACTAAGTTACTCAGTATAGTCTGACAAATCATCATGGAACGTTTAACGCTTGCAAATTGTCGAAATTTACCATCAAAGCCATTGTTTTGTGCGCCAAACTGCTCTTCGTGATTTTTATGGTATACATACGCCCAATCGAGCGATGCATTCGCCGAATCATCAAGAAATTTCAAAAGAATTTCACGCTGTCAGATATTAAAATAAAGACAAGAACAAAACAGTGCGTTTCCAAGAAAATATCATCGCTGTTGCCGACAGTGATGAGAAAGACCCAAATTTGTCAATTCGTCGACGTTCGCAGAAAGTTGGGCTTTGTTATTGGACTACGTGGGAAATTTTGCGAAAATATCTTTCTTTTCTTTGTGGTAATGTTAAATCTTTGGTAAATGTAAATAAACCAGCAACTATTCAAGACTTGGAAGCTAACATAACTCGGACAATTGAGTAAATAAGACCTAAATTGCTTGATAAAATGGTCGGAAATTGGATTAATAGAATTCGCTTTGTTACAAGTAGCCGCGGAGGACATTTGTCCGAAATTATTTTTAAACAATAATGTCATTGAATGTTATTTCATATAAAATAAATATTTTTAAGATATTTAATTTGGTTGTTATTTAATTTGAATTTAAAGTTCGGACACTCTAAAAAAATCACCCTTTATTTATATTTTAAAAACAAATATCTTAACCGTTTAGTTAATAACTAACAGTAATTGAATCGGTAAGATTAAGAATAGTACAAGTCCAAAAGTAAAATTTTTGATAAAATATTTCAAAAAATCAGTTTTATAGTTCTAAATTCTGTAAAATAATTTATATTTTCTAACAAAAATCTATTTTAAATTTTAAATTGATTTTAGAAAATAAATTGTCAAAATTAAATTTTTGGACTTATACTGTTCTTATTCTCGCCAATTCAATTCTAATATGGTTCTTAATACTTAAAAACCTCATAACAAAATATGAAGTTTACAAAGAAAATTAAAAATCCTTTTGTTTCATATATATAATAACACAGTATATTTTTGTCTAAAACAAAATAAATATGGCTAAAAATGACAATTTTGTAGAAGTTTTTTTGTTGTTTTTTAAGAAAAATTTTGGTTGTGATATTATATCATTTTAAAAAGAATTTAATAAAATAGAACCTAAAAATATATATTTAGTTAGTTAGGTGGGCCTATTTAAATTTAATTTTTAGGATTTTAGGAATTTAGGAGGTGTGGGAGCCCTGCAACAGTTTAAGATTCTAAATAGTTTCTTACCGTGTACAGCTCTCTTGTGCTGCGTCAACAAGTAGCCCATAAGGAAGCTCTCGGTGCACAGCTCGCACTGGAACCGTTCGCCAGTGTGGCGACGGATGTGCGCCTTTAGATCGTTGCCCTGCGCAAAGGCCGCGTCGCAATATGTACACTGATACGGTTTCTCGCCCGTGTGGGTTCGCATATGTACCGTCAGATTGTACGCGCGACCGAAACCTCGTCCGCAGATCGTGCACAAATGAGTCTTTTCACCTGTGTGATATCTGCAATATAAATAAGAAAATTACAACTTGTAAATAATTATCTTATTTTAACTGTATGGGATTTTAAAACATCCTTGTCGAGCTGCAAATATCTCCAATGTGACATTTTTTAACATGAATGTATGTAATGGTTGCATTCACTACATACTGTAGAAATGTCACTCAATTGTCAGAAATAATAAATATGCGGTAGTGCGAGACATGGGACGCATTTAAAAAACACGAAAAAGTAGTAAAATACACGTTTTTTCAGCACCGTGTAGTTATTTAGAAATATTGATTGAGTGAATTTATATATTTTTTTATATAAACTACTATTTTTTAGCTTTAAAATGACATCTTGAAATTTAAAATATCTTTAATAGAAAAAAAATTACAGCTTAAATTATTAAAGCATAAAAATGACGTTTTTTTAAAAGTTTTAATTCGATTAGGTCGTATTTGACAGATGCGAAAAAATAAATAAGGGTGGATTTTGTCCTTTGGGGCCCTAATTAGTGTTGCAAACAAGGAAAAGTTCGGTCGAAAAGTTGGAAAAGTTCGGCACCCCCTATGAAAAGTTGGAAAAGTTATTAGGTGGGAGCCAATGAACAATGAGTTGACTTCTAACCAGTGTTTCCACTACCATAAATTTTTTTTGGTAGATAATTTGGTCAAAATTCGATATAAATCGCTAGATTTGGTGTTTTTAGTAAAACATGCTAAAAGCATTCTTTTTTGGAATAACATTTTGTCAAACTTTATCAAAAATGGTGTCTGCTAACAGCATTTTTTATTATAACGTAATTTGCAAGTGAAAATATAAAAGTGGAAAAGAAGAAAGTTTTCTTTTCTTTTTCTTTTTAAATTTTTACTTGTAAATTTCCATAATTTTTAACAACAATAAATTTAATATTTTTTTGTAATTATTTTTTATTTCGTATGTGTTTTTTTTATGGTGTATATAAATTTCTATTCTTTTTTACTTAAAAAATATGATTTTTTTAATTCAAACCTAGTTTATTTTTGTTGTTATTATGTTGTCTGTTCATTTTATTTTGTTTGATATTTTTTTGTTATTTTGTTACGTATGTATAAATACATAAGAAATAAATTATTTTAATACATTGACAAGCATTATTTATGTTTTATACGTTTACATTACAAAAAACTCAACTTTTCCATCTTTTCCGAACTTTTCCGAAAAATAAAACCCAACTTTTCAAATATTTCAACTTTTCATGAAAAGTTGCAACCCTAGCCCTAATGAATATGGATTGACTCAATAATAAAGCTTACTAATTTAATAATTTATTACCATAGAAGCTTTCATTATTACCACATTGTAAAGTGAGTACTTATATGCCTAAAACTCTAATTTTATATTAAAAGTTGAGCCCTGAATAGAAAGGTCCTATAGAAATGGAGAAAAATGCGAGTTTTGCAAATTGATATATTTAGTCGTAGATTAAAAACGTATAAAAGTAACCTTCTCACCTTTCATGTACAGTTAGATCGGTGGTCCTTGGGAATCCTTTTCCGCAATATTTGCACTTGAAAGGCTTCTCGCCCCGATGTCTGCGCATGTGTATGACGAGATAATCGTTCCTTATAAACCTCTGTCCGCACTCCGAACACAAAAATTTCTTGGAATGGTCGTTGTGAAATTTCATGTGTTCCGTGAGATGCGATTTGGATAAGAACGATTTCTGGCAGGTTTTACAGGTGTACTCTTTTTCGCCGTTGTGGCCTTTTAGGTGGACGTCTCTGTACTTTTCGGTAGTAAAAAACTTATTGCACAAATGGCACCCAAATTTCTTTTCAGATGTTACCTAAAAATTAAAATAAGCCGTTAGACCTTCTAGCGGACGAGCAGGAAAAAATTACTAAGTTTTTCATTTGTAAGTTCTTAAAACGTTACATTTTTGGCTGATGCCTTCTACATGTAAGAATGAGTTGTTACAATAAATGTTACAAGTCAAATTTCGCTATTTGAGACTGTATATTTATTTTCGGAATCCCGAACTTTTTACAATAATTCCGAAATTTTGATTCTGATTCCAAAAAGTGGAAACCCTAGTTACACGTCGCACTCGGACGGAATAAATATGTTCATTACAAAACACCTTTCACGGTACTGTTCTGAGAGGTGATTTTTGGACTTTCTGTGAAACCTAATTTTTTTTTATATTCTTGTTAATTAGGTCATAACCAAAATTTTAAGAACAAAATAAAAAAAATTTGACGGTTAATTTTGTTTTAATTGGATGTTTATTAAAAATATGTATGCACACTTTCAATTCTCCAATTAAAACTTGCGATTTTATTTAAATATTATCAAAACTTTTTAAATCAGATTAAAGATTAGTTAATTTCCTAAAAAAGGTCTATACATTTTTTATATCTTTTACTGTTTTGTTGTAATACACGTTTAAAGTTTTAATTTAAGGTTAAATGTATAGTATACATTTATTAAACAATAATTCTAAGGGTGCCACATTTTATTTAGGGCCGATTTATTTATTTTTGATTTTTTTGACGAATAATTTCTTTGGATACTAGATATTGCCAAGACATGAAAGTTATCGGCCCGATAAACTTTACTAAAGATGAATAAACCGGTCCTTAGTTAAATTTCATGAATTTCTTCGCAACTTTTACTACAATTTTTCATTTTTGTTTATAAAAAACACTTTAAAAAACTAAACAAAAATTATAGAATACGTATACCGAAAATGACAATTCAAACGTCAAATAAATTTTTAATAGATCTAAGTTTCATGGCAACCTTTAATGATATATTAATTAAGGGAACATAAATGTTTACGTCAAAGGTTAGATTAAAAGTTTGAACGTTTATTGCAACAAAACAGTAAAATATATAAAAAAAATTATAAAAACCTCTTTTTAGTTATGCAAATATTAAATATTTAAATTAAATCGCTAGTTTTAATTGGATAATTGAAAGAGTGCATAATATTTTTAATAAACAGCCAATTAAAACAATTCAAACCGTCAATTTTTTTTTATTTTGCTCTTAAAATTTTAGTTATGACCTAATTAACAAGAATATAAAAAAAATTAGGTTTCACAGAAAGTCCAAAAATCACCTCTCAGAACAGCACCGTGCTTTGCACCCTGGGAAAAACACGCAGTGACATTATATTATTTTTATTTTTTTTTGGTGTGACGGTTACGACAATAAACTAAAGGTAAGGGCAGTTTTCAATTATCCAATTTTGTTTAAATTGGGCAGTTTTGTATTACCCAAAAGATTAATTTTTATGTTGTTTCAATAACCCGGTTTTCAATTAATTAAATGTAAGAATATTAGCAATTTTGTTTGAATTTGGGAAGTTTTCAATTACCTAAAACGAGCGTAATGTTTCGTCACAAAGCAAGTCGCATGAAATGATTTTGCCCTACTGTAAAGAAGTTTCACTTCAAAAAGGTAGCTTTCCCAATTTTTGGCATAGATTTTTTCGATTGAAGTCTTATTTCAAAGAGATTTTTTCATATTCCCCCTTTTTCACACCACTATTTGTAAATAATGTTAATGTTTTGGACAAATTTTTTATTGATGAACTCTTGGGTGATGATATAAGAACCACCCTGTATAGAGGGAAAAAATGTATGGTGTTAGGATTAACATTTATCTAAAAGTTGAAATGCACAAGCACAGCATAAAGATTAGACTGGGCAAAAAAAATCGACTATTTTTTTTTTTAAGTATATCGAAAATATGGTTTGGGGCTGCTCTACAAAAAAGGCTAAAATAAAATTTTCGGTCAGATGAACCATTTTGATCTTTCAAGTTTGGAATTTTGTAATTCATGTACCCAGAAAATAACCAATGAATATTTTTATGGGAAATCAAATGCTTTACAAAAAAAGCCTCTTAACATTTTTGGCTAAATTCACTCAATCAAAAGTTTTTCAAGGTTAAAGTTGAAGTCAAAACGAAATTCTTGTTTTTTCCTCTGTAGATTTATTTTTTTATGGGTGTAAATTTGATTTTTTTCTTTATAAATGTGTATTATATAACTAATTAACAATTTCCAATAAAAAACAACATAATTGTTATTATTTAAACGATTAAATAGGTAACAGTGAAAATAATATTTTCTAAAGACTATTTCCCTTGTCTTAATTTCCACCAATCACAAACGCGCAATTTTGAATTACAAATGGTTTCTAGGTGAAAAAACAGCACCTGTCAGCAGTTTTTTCGAGTTTACCCGCGGCAAAACTTGACAGCTGTTGTCACCAAAAATTGCAATTTATATTTTAATTGTTAACTGTTACTCGTGAAATAGTCTTGTCAAATACCATTTGGGCATCTAATTTTTCCTGTGAAAAAAATGGAAAAAACACAATGCTAAGTAATATTTTTTTTAACAAAATGCATTCGTGCTTCTTGTTAAAATATTACTTAGCAACGTGTTTTTTCGATTTTTTTTCGGAAAAATTAGATGCCCTTATGCCGGTTTTCCACTAAACGAACAGTTGAGTTTGGGTTTTGTTTGTGTTTTTAAAAACTTGCAAATCAAAAACAAAACTGAAACAAACCCGAAACTCTTGTTTCCATCAAGCAAACTAAGTTTTGTTCGAGTTTTGTTTTTGTTTTCGGTCCTTTTCCACTAGTTGTCGTGATTATGTCATTATGATATTACTTACGAAAATAGCTTCTTAAAGCGAAAAAATTAGAATGTGTTATTTTTTTTTAATTTTCAGTAATTTTATCAATAACATAAAGATTATCATCGATAAAAGAATTCAAGTTTTTAACTGACCCCAAAAAATCTAGAGCGGAAAAAACAAGAATTTCGTTTTGACTTCAAATTTAACCTTGAACAACTTTTGATGGAGTGAATTTAGCCAAAAATGTTAGGAGACTTTTTTGTAGACCATTTGATTTCCCATAAGAATATCTATCGGTTTTTTTTCCGGGTACTGATTTTTACATGAATTACAAAATTCCAAAGTTAAAAGATCAAATTGTAAAACTATACCAATTTTTAAGGTATGATTGTAAGAAAACGGTTCATCTGACGGGAAATTCCAATCAAACCTTTTTTGTAGAGCATTCAATTTTCTTCAAAAAATATTCTTAAGTCAATTTTGTTAAACTCAATTTGATTTGGGAGTTCTGAGACAAAAACTCGCTCAGGAAAAAAAAATCTAAAATTGCGATGATAGACCTCTTAATATTAATATTATGGACTCAAACTTTCACCATAATTTTTTTTGTCATCCCCAACAATAATTTCGATATAGTTTCCAAAAAAAAATAGTCGATTTTTTTGGCCCAGTCTAATATATAAGATATAATAACTATAACAATTGACGCGTTTCTCGGAAAAACATCATTAGTCCAAAATTAACATATTTGGGAAAATGAAAAAAACTCTCCGACATTCTCATTTTTGACCAAAGTACTTTATTGACCTATTTACTACATGTAAAAAAATGTAAGATACTTTGTCCAGAATTCCTCATGTTTTTTGTTTCGACGAATATGAAAAAAACACAAAAAATACATGAACATGTGAGGTTTTTAGAAGAAAAAAACGAACAATTCTCCTTACTACAAACACTACAAACTAAATATTAACTCTGAGTAACAAAATAAATGAAAAAACTAAAAACTGTATTACTGCCACACTCAGTCTTCGCATCCACTGCTGTTATCATCGTTGTCGACCGTGTTATCAGGACTGTCAGGTGCTATGGTCTTCTGGTCTTTTACAAGTTATCATAAAATTTTCTATTGCTGTGGTCATGTAAAAGAGGTAGAAGCTTTTCTAGAGTGTCCAAAAACGTCACATGTTATGCACATGTGACTCTCTTAGACGAAACGGAGTGGACTTGTGATGTTTTTAGAAGAACAAGCTAAATTTCATATTTAATTATTATGGAACCTATGACATTTTTACGAGAAACACTTATTTGTAAAATAATTAAATTAATTTAAAATTTTTATATAAGTAAATAAAAATGTAACAGGATATGATATATACACAGACCTAGGTCTGTGGATATATACAATAAAATAATTATGCATTTTTAGTAAACATACAATATTATTTACTGAAAATTATTCAGTTAGTATTTTGATCGAAATTTGCAAAATATCCGATTTTACCCGCTTCAAAATTCTACCCGCAAAACATGACGAAAATACCAGATTTCCGAATAAAATACCCGCAAACGGCAACACTTGACAGGAGAGCTATCTTGAAAACGCGGGAAGATGCCATCACATGACAGATCAGCTGTGGTCTAATTGGTCAGCTGAGAAAACCGATATTGTGTCTAAAAAGTGTTTGGAACAATGGTTAGATGAATATTTGCGTATAAAAAGGAACTATTAAAATAAAACAGTACAGTGGCAACAACAAAAGCAAGTCAAGCGCATCGTATGTAAAAAATTATAATTGTTATAATTATTGCACCTCACATATGATATTATATAGGTAATTATGTAATAAACTTGTCTTATTACCAGCCTGGCAAAATGTTAATAATAGTACATTCTGTAACAAGTTTGGAATACAGCATATTCCGCTCGAGGAAAAATTTGACACACGAGCCGAAGGCGAGTGTGACGGTTTTATGGAATATGCTATTCCAAACGTGTTTCAGACATTATTTTCTCTACGACTACGTAAGAATAGTAACGCTTATATAATTTTAAACAGAGAAAAGAAACCAAGCAGTTTTTGACATTTAAGTTTTTTGTATTGTCAAACCATTTTTTGCCGTCACAATTTTATAATGTAAATTATAATAAATTTGGTATGCCTAAATCTTTATTATAATTAAAAATAGTTATTTACACTTACTAATAAAAAAATAACAAATACAAAACTAATTTTACAAGTAATCTATGTCAACATCCATTCTTTTTCAACATTTTAAAGGTATTTTTTTAAACTTTTTGAATCTGTCAAAACTTCAAAGCCGGTATAGTAGGTAACTGATTTATCATTTTAATATCAAATTTATTATAATTTTGATTTTATTATTTGAAAAACAATAAATGTAACTAATTTTTTGTGCCTAAACCTTAATTACAACTGCTATTATTTTTAAATAATAAATAATAAAGTAATATTTAAATATTTTTAAATTTTTTACGTTTAGTAAACAGCCAGGAGATGTCGTTACTTGTGACCATTCTTATACAAGAGTAGGAATATTCTCGCACAGTATTGCAGAAAAACATCCTTTCTATGATCAATTTATTTTAATCGCTAGTTAGGTTCCTACCATTTCTCTGCTAAAAGTCATTATTAACTCTTCTAGAAGCTATTAGTCTGACTTACTAAGTCTTACTCTGACTTTTTCCGACTTAATAAGTATTATTCAGACTTTTTAAGAGAAAGTAAAAACTCTTATTTTTACTTATTAAAACTTTTTCAGAGAAAAATTTCCAGAAGGGAGCATAAAGATATCCTTATGCTGTGCCGCACAAGTGTTTATTAAAACTTACTTTTTCGCCGATTCCATGTTTCAAAGCCTTGTGCTTCGCTAGAAGATCGACTCTGAAGAAGGGTTTTTGACAAATATCGCACTCGAAATCCTGTTGTCGCTCGTGTAGCTTCTGATGTTGAACAAGGTGGTCCTTCCGGTTGAAACTCTTGGTGCACACCTCGCACTGATACGGTTTCTCGCTCGAATGCGAGGCCATGTGTCGCTTGAGGTGATTGAGCCTGTCGAAGTCTTTATCGCACTGCAGGCACTTGTGTATCTTCGAGCCCGGATGGTGTTTCTTGCCGTGCCTGTCCAGTTTCAGGGCGGTTTTGAACACGTCCTCGCACACCGGGCACAAAAACTCGCCGATGATCTGGTCTTCCGGATCTTTCTTGACCTTGGCGATGTTCGTCGAGCCCGGCGGTCGGCCGCGACCTCTGCCGGGCACCCTCGGGCTCTTCTGCTTCGACGGGCTGTTCGGGTCTTTCGGCGGTCTTCCTCTTCTTTTGCCGGTCGGTTGAATTTTTTTATGCGGCTTGTATTCTTCATCGCTGCTGTCTATGGATTGATCTTCCATTGCTAAAAAAAAATTCATTTACACAAAATCAAATATACCGATTAAATCTCAAAATATTCAAAAACAATTAGATGAAAATATTTAAAACATATTTTTGATTATTATTAAACTAGCTCTTGCGGGTGGTTATTGCGCCGCGACCGCTTCTCCTAAACCCTAGACCAAACCAATAGATAAATATCATATGTCGGATGTCGGGACAGTATTAGTATTTAGCCAAGCCAAGAGAGGGCGCGGATTTTATAATTTTTTGACGTTTTTGACCTTTTTGACGTTCAATTATATCCGTAGTTATTGCATTTTTGTAAGATTTTTTGTATTTGTGTGTTTTTATTGTGTATTGTTTCTAAGGTTTGTATTATAATAATAATTTATAAACGACACTTTGACCGAATCATAATCTTTCAGATGGTAGGCATGTATTGTTTCATAAAATTTATGGATTTAACAGTATTCTTCAATTTCAAAATAATGAATAATAAGACAGTTACTTTTGGTAGACCATCATAAATAACAAAAACAATGTTTCTTACCATATATGAATGGTACTTTTGGGAAAAAGTATGATAATGATTCAACGAGTTTTACAAATTAAAAAAATCACAGATTTTACAAATGAATACTAAATACACTTGTTTTACATTTACATACATTTGTTTTCTTCATTGCTTTTCCATAAATCTGCGATTTTTTTTACTTTATAAAAGTTGCTTGAGAATTACTAAACAGCATAACCACAGAAGTACCTTAAATACATAGTAGAAAACAAAGTTATTGTTTTCGTTACTAATTACATTTAAAATCTAGTCACAAGTTAGATTTTAAATATAGCGCCATTGAAGTAACCAATCAAATACGTTGATTTTCCACCAATTAAAAGCTATGTTGGCAACAGTTGCCTGTAAACACGTAATTTAATTTTTAGCGAAGTTCAGAGAGGGCGCTTCATTTGGCTCCAAACTATATACTCTTTAAGATAGTCATCTATTGGTTTTGTTTAGGTCCTAAACTGGCTAAAAAACCTGGTGGCAATTTGAACTTTGAACCTAAATTGGGTAAATTTTAATAATTAAAATATGATTTTTATATTTGTCATCTGTCAACTCCACACCTGCCATCTGTTAACTTGAGAGCTGTTATCTGTGCAATTGACATTTGTCCAAGTTGCTAAATATTTTGTTGGGTACCCTAGTATATAATATGCGATCCACCTGATAAATGGTTTTTATTTTTTATATTTTTTTGTATGAGAAATTCTTACAAAATCTGGCTACATCGTAATTTAATTTGGACAAATTTAAAACCTTTCACCAAATTTGACAAAAATTGAAAGCTGACCTTATTGGATTTTCTTAAAACTTTCAGACCAATGCTTAGGATGAACAAAAACCACAATAATTTTTGTTTTATTTAAACACCCTGAGGAATTAGGCAGGGCCATTGACCAGTTTGCATAAAAAATTACCAAATCAGTGTCTAAGAAAACCTTTTATAACTAAGTTGTTTATTAATATTTAATATCGCGTAATATTTTGTTTTAACCATAAAACAATGTAATTTTTAAATATGCCTAAAATTATACAAATGTTTTTACAAATGCAGTTTTTTAGTGCTAAATTTACGCTTCTTTTAACTGAAAATGTCAATTTTCTGCCATTGATATTATATAGTAGGCTATGAAAATTTGATTTGATGTATATTTTTATTTAAAGTAATTATAAATATTGATTAAAATATAAAATGCGAAATTATAAAAAAGTATCCAAATTGCAGGAAATACCATCATAATTATGAAAATTTCCCATTTTTGGAGAAAAAAAATGCATTTTTTCGTCCGGAGGGACTGAACGAAAATTCTTCAAAATTTAACAGAATGTTCTCCTCAATATAAATTAAAAACTTTAACAAAAAAAATGTTGTGTATTTGCCTTGCTAGGAAGATACAATGGTTTAAAATACCATAAATTGAATAGAATATGGAATCATTTTCATGGTATTTTTTATCAAGATGGCTTTGATAAAAAAATGCTATTTAAAGGTGTTTGAAAAAGAAATATAAAATAATAAAAATGAAGCTACATAAATATTAAATAATTATTTTATAATTATAATAAACAAAATAACGCATATAGTTGTCGCGGCGAATGTTTCAAATTGCGTCATCAAATTCTGAACCAAGCACAGGCATTACAATTATTGCTGTTTTCTTTTACGTATATAATCCAATCGATTTTTGACATTCGACATTGATAACGCAATTTGAAACATTCGCCGCGACGACTTTACATAATAATTAATATAAAATAAAACAAACAATATTTGTATTGTTATCTTAAGGCACATAATGATTACTTATGATGGATCGCCTATGTTATTTTTATTACTGTTAAATGATTGCAACCAATCAGATTCACTTATTTAATTTAACACAAGAACAATTTTGGTACTATGCCTAAGTGAATAATTATGTGTATTTTAGCAATAATTTTAACAGAGAACTTGTTTTTTTATCGTTAACAATGCTTTATATATTCATGTGTTACTTCATTTATAATACAAAACTATGTTAAAGGTAACATTTATATTGTTTTTCTACATGGAATCTTAAATTTATCTATTAATCTATTAAGGTAGTTGTTAATTTAAATTTAATAACATTCCTTATAGGGTAACCCTAATAAAATTTAACATAATTAATAATTAATTATTGGTTTTTGAAGCTCCAAATTTTGTTCTTTTTAATATTTTTTTATTTATAAAACGGTTTGATTTCGATGTGCTTTGAACCTGAATAATTTGTACATTTTTAGGCGCAAATGAATGAAAACTTCTAGTATTTTTTAGTACAAGGATTAATTTTTGTTGTTCTATTATTTTAGGTTTGTATTGTAATGTATTCCTTTTATATTTTGATTGCAAAACATATCTAAAGATAATACAATTTGATCCTTATATGGTCTTTGCAGGCTTGCTTTTGAAACCAATCTCTTAACGGTTCCCCCTATTCCATCACAAGGTCCTTTTCCGTGCGATGTGGCAAAAAATGCTACTCTGCCTCCAAATCAAAGTCATTTTTGTGATATGCCAAATTAATAAAATTATATTTATTTTTATATTGTCCCCACATCCATAAGTAAAATATATTATTTTTTTATTTGCGAAAAATTTATTTTATGAAATTAAGTTCTTTAAGAAAAGTATAAACAACTTGTTTGACATTATTCATTATTTTCATCTTTATAACACATAACAAAGGGATGTACAGTGGCCAGACTACAAAATAGTGAAAATTTTGTATTTCGTATTGTACAACGGAGGAGAAATTTTCAGCATGGGAAGCAAATAATTTTTTTAAGATGCATATTTTGCCTGATCTTTTGAAATATACTGATGCTTTTTTAAAGAATCTATTGCTGATAATATTTTGTCAATGAAATCAGAAACTGGTAAATTAAAGGTAAGTAAATTATTAAATATTTATACACATATTTTTTTAAATGATAGGGACATCCTGTTTGAAAATTAGTTTTAGAGTTTGAACTAGGTTCTTCGATATTTTGTAATAAAATATCACATTTCATCAGTTTGTGACACTTCTCATTCAGGAATTGTCCAACGTAGCACATTTTAAAATATGTAAACATGTAAAAATGTCAACATGTAAATATTTTTTAAATGTAAAAAATATGATTTGACTTTTCTATCAAAGCCTTCTTAAACAAAAATCATATATAAATTTAGTGCCATTTTCTATAAAATTTGTCGCATTTTAAACCGTTGTATCTTCTTAGGAAGGCAAATACACAATTTTTTTTACAATTTTTAGTATATATTGAGGAGAACATTCTGTTAAATTTTGAACAATTTTCGTTCAGTCCCTCTGGACGAAAAAATTGAATTTCCTGAAATTTGGGTACTTTTTTATAATTTTGCATTTTATATTTTAATCGATATTTATAATTACTTTAAATAAAAATATACATCAAATCAAGTTTTCATAGCCTACTATATAATATCAATGGCAAAAAATTGACATTTTCAGTTAAAAGAAGCGTAAATTTAGCACTAAAAAAACTGCATTTGTAAAAACATTTGTATAATTTTAGGCATATATTTAAAAATTCGAAGTGACTAGGTGCACGTTAGAGTGCCCGCAATTTATTTTTTACGGGCACGCTAGTGACGTCATAATAATAATCCGGTTTTGTTCCCCGAACTTATAATATTTGTTGTCAAGCTAGATAGCTTAGATGGTAGGGCGGTTGCTTGCCATGCGAAAGGTCCCGGGTTCGATACTCAGAAGTTGTCGAAATTTTTTTATTTTTTTATTTCATAAATTTGTTGTTCCTTTGTTAAAAAGTGTTTTATTTTTATCGTAACATAAATTTGCCCATTTTAGTTGGGTTTTTTGCTCAATGGGGCGGGGGGGGGCCAATGGGGCGGGGTCGGTTGGGTTGTGTTGTTGAGTTTGGGTTGGTTTGGTTTTATGACGTAACTAACGTGCCCTTAACATGTATACAGGTACAATTTATTATTATATTATTGTTGTGCCGCCAATTTTAAATTAAGCGGCACGGCAGTGATGACGTTTTTTATCTATTACGTCACGTGCACCTAATCACGGCGTTAAAAATTACCTTGTTTTATGGTTAAAACAAAATATTATTATGAAATATCGCTAAAAATGAAAATTTTGTAGAAGTTTTTTTGTTGTTTTTTAAGAAAAATTTTGGTGATATTGCATCTTTTGGAAAAGAATTTAATAAAATAGAACCTAAAAATGTATATTTTTAAATTACTTTTTAAAAAAGAATTTTTTAATTAAACGGAAGTCAGGTTGGCCTGATAAATTTAATTTTTAGGATTTTAGGAGTTTAAGGAAATTGAATGCCATTTTAGGAGAATTTTAGGAGTTTTCAAGATTTAAGCAAAATTTTAGGAATTTTATGACTTTTAGGAGGTGTGGGAGCCCTGTCTTTGTAACTCGATCCATATGTATTAACATTAAATTAAACAACCAAAATATAGAAATAATTAAAAATTTCTTACTATCAACCTCCAGTTCATTAACTATTTTCACAAGGCTCTGCTCAGACAAGTTTTCAATGTCTTCATCCTCAACTTTAGGCTCAATCTTATCCATCATCACCTTGTCAACTTCACACTTTTCATCAATCTCTCCATCTTCTGATGACTGATCATCATTATCCATGCAATTGAGGCCTTCATTATCTTCATCATTCGACAAATTCTCTTCATCATGTTCATGATTTGCTATTTCAGCAACTTCTTTAATTTTATCTTCATCCAAGTTTTCAGTAACCTCAACGTGAGGTTCAAAGCAGTCTTCTAAATCTGAGTTATCGGAAAACTGCATGGGATCACCATCAAAATCAATTTCATAATAGTGATCCTCAATGTTGTCCAAGTTTTCAATAGTAGGTAGAACGGGGGCTTGGACATCGTGCATCCTTTTATGTACCTCCAAACTGTCCTCTCTATTGAAGGCTTTGTTGCATATATCGCAGATATGCACTATTTCCCCTTTGCACCTAGGAACGTGATTGTGTAAATGTTCAATTCTGTTAAAACCGCGATTGCATGTTTTACAGCTGAACGGCTTTTCTCTAAGATGTGTGGTTAAATGTCTTTTCAAATGCTCCATTCTTGTCAAAGTTTTGTTGCAAATTCTGCAAACATGTACTTTTCTTCTGCCATGAGACATTTCATGCCTTTGTAAATGATTTAGCCTTGTGTATTCTTTATCACAAGTTTTGCATTTAAACATTCCACCAAGATGAATACGTTTGTGGCAACGTAGACCTTCTAAAGTAGTGAACATTTTCATACATTCTCGGCATGTCAATAAAATTTGATTATTTTCCAGAATTTGTATAAAGTCAGTTGTTAGTGACTGATTATTCTCTGGATTATCTTCAGCATTTTGGGCTGTTGTTTCTTCAAATAATGTGTTAAGTGTTTCTAATAAAAACAAAACAATTACATTTGTGAAAAAAATAAATTAAAACAAAAACTTACCAATAAAATCTGTATTTACAGCCAATTCTTGCTTTATCATATTTTCTTTTGAATTTTTTGCTGTTTCCCGCAAACTTGCCTCTGTTTTGAGCGCTTTTTCTTTGAAAACAAAAGCAATTTTTAATTGTTCCAAACATATTTGGCAAATTAACTTTGGTAAATCGTCGTCGGCGGCTGCCTGCAATTTTTAATTCGATTATAACTTTAACTGTTTGTATTTTTTCATTAAAATAACACCAAATAAATACAATAACAACCTGAATAGAAGTGCAGGCCATTAGCATCTCGTCGATACGGGGACCATCAGTTTCGTTCGCTTCAAACACATTTCTCATGTCCGCCGAAACGGATTTGCAAGTTCGACAAACCATATTTATATTGCTTGGTTCGTTATCCATCTTATGGAAATTGATAACACAATAACTATCAAATCATTCTGAAACAAATTTTCAACAAACCCAAGCCAACACAATCGACTCCACTGGTGAAATGACAGTTTTTACGTCATCTGTCAAAATTCTACGAACTTTCGATTGTTGTTTTGATGCTTTGTATGAAGCATTTTGAGGGTTTCTTCTAGGAAACGTAAAAAGTTGCTCAAGAAGTATTTTATTTATTATTATTACTATTATAATTATTTTGATTTACATCGTTCAATTCAATTTTAAAGGTACCTATTTAAAAACCATTTTGCGTTGTTGCCGGCGTTATCTATTTTTCCCAGTTAATCAGAATTTAATATTTTCATTAAGGAGTTTCGGGTAAATCGATTTATTTTTAACTGATTTTCGATTTTAATGAATCAATTTATTTTTAATAAAATCAATTAATATTTTTACATTATTTCAAAGAAAAAAAACGAAATGTGCCTATTCCCTTTCTTGTTGTTCATAAAGATGGCTCTGGCACAAAAAGGAACAGAAAAAACATTTTTAAAAATTGTACCAAATTTACCATTGTGGTGCCAATTAGAGGTGGGCCGGTTTGCGATTTTTCAAGAGCTGCGATGCAATGCGACTGCTCCGGCCGGAACACTGTGACAAAAAGCAGCGATTTTTCGAAGCAATGCGATTTGCGATGCTCCAGAGCAGTTTTGTTTGAGCAGTGCCACGGTAAAAGCACAACACTGGCGAAAGTGCGAACGGCGAAGCAACTAGAGATAAGCGATATTTCACGAACTGTGATTTTTTCACTGATATTTAAAAATCACGAATAACGACTGCTACTTACATCTATTAATTAGCGTGATCTGTGATTTTTCACTTAGCGATATTTTACGAATTGTGTTTTTTCACTGATATTAAAAAAAATATTAAACCGTGAGTTGCTATTTATCAAAATAATTTTTCTCACTGATATTAAAAAGCATTAAATAACGATAAAACCGTAAATTGCTATTTATCACAATAATTTAACATAGATTTTCGGCCGCAGGCAAAAATGGAAAAAAAAATTTGAAATAGTTTTTTTAAACGCCCGTTTAAATAAGATTTTAAATGCCCGTAAGTATTAGGACAGCATAAAGTCGAATAGGTCTGACTGCTTTTCCGTGGTACCGTACCAACTGTTTAAACCTAAAAACTATAAACATTTAAAAGCAAACCTAAGTTTAAAAAGTTTTTTGTACGAGTTATCTACCAATAAGTTCAATCACATATTGATAAATACATGTGGAACAATTCCCCACACGGTCGCTGCTGAAGAGAGCAACAGCGACGGCCTGGTATAATTAAAATTTCGGAGCAATTTAAATTTTAAATTGCTCCGAAATGTCGCTGCGATTTTTACTGCCGCGGAGCAGTTTGCGATTGCGACGCCACCGGAGCAGTGACAAAGTAGCAGTTTGCGAAATCGCAACACACCTCTAGTGCCAATGTACTATGCTCCACACCTCAAAGTCCCACCGCGTGACCACGTACGAAACGCAGTCTCTTGAAAATTTGGCATTCAAGGCTTTTCAGGTTATGTATCTGTCAAAGTATAGTCAGAGCTGCAACAAGTCAGTTTTAAAAAGACTTAAATCTTAAGTCTTAAGTCAATTCTAAAATCAAAATGATTTAAATCTTAAGTCAATTCTAAGATAAAGTTCAAATGATTTAAGTATTAAGTCTTTGAATTAAATCATTTTCTTTCAAGTCAAGTCATTTTCGCAAATTCTTAAATCAATATAAAGTGATTTAAGTCATCTTATGACTTAATTCCTTTAGTAAGTCGTTTTTATGACTTAAGTGTATATTTTTTATTTAAATCGTGATCTAAGAGTTAAGTCAATAAAATGACTTGAATCAAAAATTGTGATTTAAATCAAAATAATTACAATACAACGATTTTTTAAATGTTAATAATAATTTTATGGTATTAATGATACTGATATTATTAATCTATTGTAGATACAGATAATAATAAACCACTATGTTAAGAATTTAAAACGATTTATTTTTAGAACACTTACAAACAAAATAAAAACTTAAAACACATTTTTGAGTATATATTAGACAATAAAAATAAAAACCACCTTTTTTTAGTAGAGTAGACATACAGGGAGGCTACTTTTTTATATACATAAATGGGTAACTTCTATTTATAAACGGTAATAGATTTAAACTCTGTTAAAATAGATAAAAGTTTAAGCATTTTTCTTAAAATCGCTGTATTTCAAAAACTGATAACTTTTTGTTTTGTTAACTTTTGTTAGCTGGTTCAACATCCATCTAGAAAAAAAATATTCCTCCCTTAAGGAAGTAATGATGGGAAGTTCCAAACTCTCGATTCACGACCGCTCAGATTGTTTTCACTTTGCACTAATAATCACAAATTAGACATAACTACGCACGAACATGACGAATGTTGGCAAACAAAATAACAAAATTATAAATCCCCACTTTTTTTAATTTATTTTAGACAGGACATTTCTTAATGTAGCCGTCAAACGGTTTCAAAAAGCTAACTTTACCGCGGCGTTTTTTTTATCCTCTAACGGTAAAAATTGTAGGTAGGAAATTAAAGGAGTTTTTGATCTGCTGCCGCGTAAACCCCTGGCAGTTCAAAAGAAAATGCCGCTGTTAAAAATTTATAAAAAATATATGAAAAATCTGACTTAAATATTTTCTAAAAAGACTTAAATCTTTTTCAAAAAGACCTAAATCTTTTTTTGACTTAAATCTTTTCTATCTGACTTAAATCGTATGTACTGATTTATAAATGACTTAAGTTTTTTCTATTTTGAAAAAAATATTTAAGTCACAAATCATTTTGAAAATTACTTAAATTTTAAGTCTTAAGTCAGTTTTAGAGAAATGACTTATTACCAAATGACTTAAGTCATTAAAACGATTTAAATCAAAAAAACGATTTAAGTTTTCTGAGAGCTTGCAGCTCTGAGTATAGTCAATGAAAGAAATAATATTTATAGTGTTACCGCTTATGTTTAAGCGTTAAAAGTTAATAAATCTTTATAGTATCACAATAACAATGGTTGGTTTAAGAATTTAGGTATATAAATACTGCATTTAATGAAATTCCAAAGTGTAAGTTGCAATATAAGTTATATTTTTGTTCATTAATGACCCAATTGGGTCTATAATTCTCCATAAAATAGTTTTAACTAAACAGCATTTATTAAAAAAATCTAACTTCTCTATTATGAAATAAGAATATCTGTATCAAAGAACAAAAAATATCATCTAATTTTGTATTTTAAGGTTAGAAAAATCTATTTTGACCAAAATAAATAAGTGGATTATTTGAAAGAGTGTGTTAATATGGTCATAAATAAATATAGGTATACTAAATAATTGTTGAATATAGTTCAAATTAAATTGAAGCTTTTATACTTTTAACGACAAAACTTGTGCATACCTCTCGGCATACTTACTTTAAGTTAGATTATAAGAAAACAAACAATTTTTAGAGAAACTTGCAATGTGAAAATATTTAATACTCCCATGACACGTGATTTATTAAAATTTTTAAAGTGATAATGATTTTTTGATGCAGATCAAATTCAGTCGAAGCTTTTTAACTATTTGTATTGACAAAACTTTATGTAGGTACCTACACTTTAAGCTGGATAAGAAAAACTACCACAATTTTAAATACCATAATAATAATAATAATAATAATAAACATCTTTATTGGTTTCCCAACAGGCTATATATCGACCGTGGTCTTCCTGCCCAATTTTACAAAAAAAAATTATAAATATAATAATTGTTAATTGTAGTTACAATATTGAATTTATATAAAAAAAAAGTAATAAAAACATATAAATCTCAAATATTTTAGTCTTCGTTAGTGATGTCCGTGATTATCTCCCATAGAGTTTGTGTAGGATATTTCCTTTTGGGGGGCAGGTTATGGTCTCTACCGTGCATTAAGTTTTCCATAATTTGTATGTTGTGGTGTTTTTTAACAAATTGGCATGCCAGCTCCTTGAAACGTTCCAAAATGGGGGTGACCTGCGTTGTTTCGTATAGCAGTTGATTTGATGGATTGAAGTGGATTATCTGGGTGTCTTTTGGTGATCATTCACTTTGATCATCTACTTTGTTCAGCCACTTCTTTGCGGATAAAATCAGATGTTTGGATATTAAAACAGATGTTTGCGGATAAAAGCAGATGTTTGCGGATAAAATCAGATGTTTGCAAATAAAATCAGTTGTTTGTGGATAAATGCAGATGTTTGCGGATAAAAGCAGATGTTTGCAGATAAAATCAGACGTTTGCGGATAAAGGCAGATGTTTGCGGGGGTGCACTAACCGGATGAAATAAGGCGTTCGCAGATAAAAGCATGTTTACAGGTGAAACCGCCCAGCAAACCAGGCTGTTCCATTTACATAACCATGATATAACTAACAAAGAACATTGCCATATAAAATTGTTTACATAACATTTACATATTAGTTATTTATTTTGTTACATAATTATGATAAAACATAGTAATATAACATTTATATAAATATTAGGGTGCTTCATTTGAAACGAACATTTTTTTTTCCCGCTGACACATGAAAATTTTGTTCCTTGTATCGAAAAAAAAAATTCCCTGAAAATTTGAGCCCTTAATTTTAATTTTCAGTGGTTCCTCTCGATCGATGTATATTTCCCATTGAAATAACATGTAAATCATGATTTTTTAAATTAAAATTAACATAGCTCCGTTTGATTTCATGGTATTTCATTGCGATTAGTCAGAATTTGTAGTATATTAGTGACTCTTTGAAAGTGCCCACCAACATTTTTTTGTCCTTGAACCCGTCTCATCGGTCTCGGCCTCGAAACCCCAATTTTCTCAAAAATTGTTATATTTTCGTTTTTATCAACAAAACAGTTGAACTTATGAAAAAAATGATCAGAAAATAATTTGTAGGAAATTAAATTTCCTACAAAAATATCCCTGTATGAATTTTCTGAGGTCCATAGTCCAAAAGGTATAAACAGTTTAATGTATTAAAATCTAAAAAAAATATGAAATTTTAATTTTTATTGT